AGATATCACAAAAATTGGTATCACAAAAAAAATAAATCCATCATGTTCTTGTTACGACTTCAATGTGATATTTATAAAGTAAAATAAGGATTTTATGTAGATATTTTAGACTTGTACTTATCGTGACTATATTATGTACATTGCTCATACACTGAACACATCATTTTGAGTTATAAAAAAACTACAGTAGTTTTAGGGTCGTATTCCAGAACTCTACTCAATGCTCAAGTCAGGATTTGAGCAGACTTAAGTATGATTTCAAGCACTGGAAATACGACTCTAATGGCAAGGACTTGAGTATGCTTTCTAGTGCTTTGAATCATACTCAAGTCCTGACTTGAGCATTGAGTACAGTTCTAGAATACGACCCTTAATGTATCATTAATGTATCATATCATTTAGCTCGATACTTTCGAATAACAACTGATTGTGAATTTATAATATTTTCACTATGGATGACTACAAAGCAGACCTGTACATCGGATAGATGTTTATTTGCTTACATAAAATCCATTGATTTCAATGAAATTTGTTTACACGTCCAACAACTGTACAAATTCATCAATATTAAGAAAATGTTCCTATTTTATTGTTTGCTACCTTGCTGTGATAATTGTTGGCGAAAACATTTTTAATCTACGCATAATAATGCGTGAATACATGAATATAATAATACATTTATAACTATTTTGGTCCGTCAATATATTTCTATGTACATACATATTCATTAGTTTTAAACAAAGATCAAAAGGTGCCCATTGAGACAAAAAATATAAGGTTTTTTTGATTTTGTGTGACCAATGAAGCGAGAAAATCATTTGAAGTTTATAAGAAGTATTTAGAATTTATATTGAATGAATATATCAATTTAAGCTTGGAACGACAAGGCCTTGCGTTTAGGCTTGTTTACTGTGTTCGCCCGTTCACATTTATTTACGCAGCTCGCGCCCTAAGTCCAATTTCTAAATGGCTTCAATATGTCCGCACCGCTCAACCGACTCTGGCTCTTCCAGGGTCTAATTCAGAATTGACAGAGTAAGATGGTTATAACGTCGATAAGAAGAGAAACCGTTTCCCCTGACTATTTACTCTATTATTGCGACCACAACCGTCTGTCGGTACAAGATGTTTATTAATAGGCCGGGGCATGGCATAATTAGAATATTTCTCTAAATAGCCCTCAATTGAATGAAGTCATAAAGGCAATTGAAATACACACAAATGAACTTTTTGCTCATTTCTAATTAAAAAATCAACTTGAAAGTGAAAAAGTACTACATTAAGGTATGATATATTTGAGAAAATATTTATGTTATGGAGTCAAATAATATCCAAGTGTTTTATTACTAAATCTTATTACTGAGAACAAAAATTAAATTTCCCTTTAAACGTTCTCCAGCATTTAATAGCACTAATTAATATTGGATAAAAAACAAGTCTCGCTTGTTTATCGCTGTATACTTTTAACCTCAGTGAAAGTTGAAACTTTAAAAAGCACGGTTCAAAGGAAGATTAAAAAATTTAAGTTATAAACAACGACAATCTATTGACTGATCCTGGTTGAGTCGCAACAACTCAATCACTCGCTCACAGAGTTGTAATTTACAAGTGTAATTTTATTTAATTTTATTTCTTTGTTATTTCGATATTTACAGTTGTTTCGAAATTTTTCCGGTGGTGAAATTACAAGTACGTGAAACTTGTCAACTAATATCTCAGGGTGAGAGACGCAATGGCAGTGTCCCTCAGATCTTTACAATTTCAAGTTCTGAGTGGCACTGCAATTGCTTTGGACAAGCGAGTCGTTTAACACCAGCCGCACAACTTATTCGTCTCGTAAATTGATATAATGAAAAAAAAATGTGGTATTGGTAAAAAGTGCGTATCTGCACCAAACCAAATTTCACAGGATAGTTAGGCATTCTGCGAACGAAAAAATCACAACTATGCGTACTTTACACAGCAGTTGTACCTTTTTCTTTCCGAGGGCAGAATTAACGTAATTACATCGTTATTTCAATGGCTACAACTTTCATTTTTGCACAGTAAGCATTAATTTATGTTGTCTACGAATTGATAACAATAGATTCCCTTAATCACGCTAATTTGGTTGCCACGACATTTACGCGGATTTGATTTGGCGACTAAATTACTGAAATGGAGACTCATAATCAAATGCTAGTTACGCATAATTGCACTATCTACGACGTTATAGCATTATAATATTGTGTAGACTGTAAAGTTATAAACGTCGTAAAAAGGGTAATGATTTAATGAAGGATTCAAGAACAAAGTGAGCCACCAAAACCGGCTTATTAAGATTGCATAACCCTTGGATATTGTAGTTGTGGGACCAGTCGAGGGCATCGACCGACAGATTCCGATTTTTGCAAATCTCTTTCTCGGTGTGCACTAATGGTTTATTTATAAATATTTTTTTTAGATGAGTCACGACGGCGAAACGAATTTTATGCATGCTCGCTGCCTCACAACTCCAAGTAAACCGGTATTTGTTCACACGAATAATTTTTAAGATTTTATATTGTAGGACACAAAAACTATAAGAATAAAGACAACATGAATTCGAGGAACATCAATAGAAATTTAAAATATGCTCTTTAATGTTTATGTAAATGAATATACAGGTGAGCTAAACTTTTCACGCCCAAGTTGTCCCATATGAGAACATTAAGCAAATAATGTAAACTGTATTCTGATAAGCGAAAGCGTAGAAAGTCAGATGAGAGCCCGCGCTTTTATTGGCTTTTAAGTATTTACAGCCATTGAAAGTTGACGGATATTATAATGGACGTTTCTAATTCGTCAGGCACTTTGGCCTATAAATACCGCACTTATTGCACCATAAAGAAAATTTTTACTTACTACTCATATACTTTAATCAAACTTTGTTAAAAAACTTGTTTTCATTATCACTTGTTACCAGCTTCACTCTTTCACAATGCCTGTTAAAAATAGATATCTTGGAGAAAAAACCAGAGCATAATAATTGAACCCATTTAAGTAGTAGAACCCAAGTAACTGTGCGTAGTATATATTAAACATCTCGTGGAAGGAAAATATAATACGTTGTGATAATGAGTAGGTGTTCGTAATATATGTACATTAACGTCTTCTGGTAAGGAAATATAATTACGTCGTGATAATAAGTAAATGTGCAAATCAACTTTATCGCATTTTCCCCCATTTGCAACGTTAGAAAAATGAAATATGAACCCAATTTTCTGTACAATCACAAGAAATCACGTTCAATTGTGCAAGATAAGTAAACGGTATTTTTATAGTGACTAATCCCTTTTTTATGGTTAAGGTACATTTAATTTAGTTGTCGTAAAATCACGTCTCCGTATAATATGCACGGCACGAAATTTCTAGAAATAGGAAAAAAAAACCTAATTGTGGCGTATTAAGATCTACGATGTATTTTGAAATTCTTTTGTAATTCTTAGGTTTAAGATCCCTTCCCTTTGAATATTATTTTTCATGTTTATGAACAGCAATCTCACGTGTTAGGGAACAATTTTTTTATGATATCAAGTGACGGCACGACCAAGTCATGAGCTGGTGCACAAGCGACACGCACGTAATTTCGCCAGTACCCTTACCCTTCAAAACCGGAACGCTGTAATACTCACATTACTGGCAGAGATCGGTAACGTGGCGGTACTTCCCTGGACGAACTCTTTCACAGGAAGCTCTACTGCCATAAAGTATATGTAACTAAAAATATCATGGTAGTAAAACATCGTAATATTCATTACAATCAATATTTCAATCGCGTTTGTTAGAACTCTGAAATAACAACAAGCACCAGTATCAAAGGGCAGTTGGTCATTTAAGTCATCACTGAGGCTTGATTCACTGAATGTTTTAAATATACTACATTTACACATTAATTTGACCACATACATGAGATCAACTAGTATACTAAATATTTATGATTATGACATGATGGATAAGACAAAAACAATTGAAAATATTTAAAGGGATCAATTCAAAAATCCTGCTACAGCCAAATAAAAACTAGTTTTGTTTAAGTTACCTAAGTTTAAAATGTACGGTTGATACGATAAAGTAATATCGTAGAGGATAAAACAGGTCATACATGTTATGTAATGTTAATAAGCGGCTTCTTAAAAGGAACTATAGTAACTTTCTCCGCTAAAAACGGCCCAAGCATAAACATTTAATGTTTGTCGTAAGTAATCAATCAACGGAAATTTCCTGTAACGGGTTCACTGCTCCTTAATAAATTTGTGCGATGTCTTGACAGGTTAAATTACAGACGTCATCCTCCAGCTTCACTTTATAAACTACGACAAACCAGGCGCTCGTAACTGTTATCACGTCCAATTAATAAGAGCAGGCATGCAACAAGTCAGACGAATAAATCAATACACGTTGCAATAATTCTTCTTACACACAGCACCACACATTGCACAATCAATACACATTGCAATAACACTGGCTATCTTTGCATCAAACTTCATATTATACTTACTTTGAAAAACAGACTACGCAGTTTACACACAACATTGTAAAAAATATTTTACTCTCTTTCGATAAGTTGGCTGTACTTGAACACTCACTTACTATAAGAGCGGAGACGTCTATAACAAACACATGTAAAATTGTAAACATGAGACAAAGTCCTAAAACAACAAGAACAAACTATCTTCTCTAAAAATATAAAGAGACAAAATGAAACCCTACGATATCATTGTTAAATTAACATGTATTACATAGTCAATAACTTACGTAATGAGCCATTACATACTGACATGTATTGTATGTAGGTACAGAAAAGTTATTAAATTCTGTTAAAATCGTACACCTTGACAGGGCAGTGAAAAATATTTTATTTTCCTTTACTGCACTGAAAATGAGAGAGATTGGAACAATACAAAATGTGCGATGTCTCCTTTTCTTTAAATCATGCTTTATCTAGTTGCTATTCGTTAATAAAATAGTAAAAAACTCACGGGGATAGGGAAGGGTCCAGCGCGGTGCTGTCCAAGAGGTACGAAGGGTGACATGCGGGGCTCCTGCGCAGGTTGCGGGCGGTCGGCGGGTTGGGGCCGCAGCGGAAGTCGCATGGGACCAGCTAGTGGGAACGCGAAAACTTGCGACTGTGGTTCTGGGAACGCGTTCATTGGTCTGGAACCAACACCAAAAAAACTTAGAGCTACAGCGTTGAAACAGCGTGACGTCAACAATATATACGACGATACAAACGCAACGACCCTATGACAGCCACTGTAGTTACAACATATTTTAACTGGTTCAAATTAATGTACTTCGAAAGTTCGTTCAAGGTTCGAAGTAATGAACTTAGTTCTTAGTAATAAACTTCAAATTCGAACGTTTTATTGAAATTTAGGGTGTACAATCTCAAAGATAAGCTCATTATATATATATTTATATGTCGCTATAGTAAACCGTGACGTTTATACATACGCGAGAACGTGGAAATTACTTGTTGATTTACTGTAATACAGTAACTGAAAGATTTCTTTTTATTGGTCTGGTCCTAATTTAAATAGATAATCGATTAAAAAATGTCTACGAAAACCTACATGAATGCCTGTCATCATCATGAATTGATATGGAACATCTTTCGTGTTATAATATGTACGAAACGAACTACTCAAAATAGTTTCTTTAACCTCGAATCACTGAAGGCACTTAGAACCAAGAATGACCTGAGAATGAATGAAGAAAGGACTACCTTTTGTACAAGATCCTAAATGGCCAAATTATCAGCCCGATCTCCTGAACCGAATCACATTAGCCGTGCCTTACACGTTACGTGCTTTTGGTTTTAATTTTCAATTTATGTAAAAAACATATTATCAAAAATTTTTTAAAGCATTGTGTAATTGTGTCAACGTTGTTGTAGAGAAATTGTATACATATAGTGCAGGATGCAGCGAATATTATGTACATCTCTAATTGTTATATGTATCAGTCCTAACCTCATGTCTAATTTTTGTTGATTGTCAAATACGTATGATGTTGATGTGCGTAATATGGTAACCTATCATAAACTCGAAAACTTTTTTGTCCGAAATAACTTTTGTTCGAATTTTCATTACACCGAAAACCGAATTATAACGAAACACTTGTTCTTTCGGGATATGTTGAATGTTTATCGCAAAGTGACGATTAGGTTCGGTACTTAGGTAAGGTCAAGTTAGATTTAAAAGAAAAAACATTTTCTTCTCAAAATTACTTTACAGTAGGTATTATTCACACTCCGTTTATCAAACTCGTTTACCGTTAATTAAAAGTTCCAATAACTACTAGTATTAATTAATAGTAAATAATTAATGGCAGAATATTCAACAAGGACATGAAATGACCCATTTTACACGAGATATTTGGAGCGCGGTAGTACTTAATAGATACAGAACTAAACATTCTCCCTTTTATTTCAATATTATAAATTTATTTCAATAGAAACTACTTTTGTGCCATTGCAGTAATGTTTCTCTTCATTCATATTAGGCATTGGTAACAAAAAGGAAAACGAATTTTAAAGTGTTTTATTAAGCGATCTCTATGAGATTTTTTAATTTAAGTATTTCGTTATACGCGGCATAATAAAATACCTAACTTTAATGAAAATTGGCTGTTTGTAATCACAATTTAGACCTTAAATTACCAGATCAATTTTAAATGCGATTGTAACTTTAGGATAATGAAACGTGTGAAATCGACTGACTAACAACTTCAATACTGTACTTATGAAGTCTATTTTGTTTGTATTTACTTTGGTGCAAATATAATGCGCACACTTACCTAGGTTCATCACCTCCGTGGCAAATGATGGCGATACGTTCAGCGTGTGCATTGCGATGGGCAAAAGCGCCGAGGATGTTGAAAGGGAACCGCCGCTCCGTGGGGTCATCACGGCGGCGCTCCACCATACAGTTCATGCGGCCTCTAAATCAACATAATTACGTCTATTTAAAAATTATTAATATAATTACTTATTCCAACAAGGTACATACATATAACTTGTTGGAATACAGGCAGTGATCTTAAATAATGTTTTTAGATTGTCGACGGAACGTGGTAAGTTGTGCGCCTCAACACGCCTACCCATAACAGTTGCAATGCTACACAGAGCTTTAAGTCGCTAAGATTTGAGGGACACTGCCACTGCGCCTGTTATCCAGAGACATAGTTGACAAATCCCACACACCTTAATTTCACTAGCACCCTGACTTACCCTTCAAAACCGGAACGCAGTAATAGAGCTAGCAGTAGAGCTCCCATGTTGTTTGTTTTTCAACCATGTTTTGGAACATATATCGTCGTGGGGCTCCCGAAACTTGGTTGAGTTCAACGCCAAGAAAACCCAGGTATGCGCGTTCAGCTCCAAAAAATCCCCATTCCTTCCACTTCCCTATTTTCAGGGTACAACGCTGACGCTCCAGGACAAGCTCAGCCTACTAGGGATGAGCGTCCGGAAGGACATGAACAACAAAGAGTATATCGAGAGCGTCATCTGTACCGCGTCGCGCAAGCTTGGCATCCTGAATCCTGGCAGCATGGAGTACTGTTCGCGCCTTTGGGACGGCTCTGCCAAGTACTTACTCGATGCCCTAGATGGACTGCAGCGCTACGCCTTCCGTGTTGTCAACGATCCTCATGTAACTGAGCATGCGTAGTCGTTACAGCTTCGCGGAGATATAGCGTCTCTTAGCGTATTCTATCGTCTGTACCACGGTGAGTGCTCTGAAGAGTTATTCAATCTTATCCCTTCCTCTCCTTTCCATCAGCGGACCACCCGTGCCGGACTGCGTTGCCACAGTTGGACGGTCAGTTCAATACCGTCCCGCACTAAAAAGTTTGGCAATTTGTTTATAATGTTTAACCATCAAATTATGGAACCAACTCCCGGCGCATGTATTCCCTCCCCTCTATAACATCGGGTCCTTCAAACGTAGTGTGAAGAAGCATTTGGCCAGACCGGCAAAATGATAGTGACGGAGTGAAGATATTTGTGTTTTCCATCTGTTACTCTCATCTCTGGACTGTATTCGCACTTTCCATCAGGCGCGGTGCAGTCATTTTGCCGAGTCACAATAAAAAAAAATAGAAAAAGCTCCTTGTGACAGAGTTCGTCCAGGGAAGTACTGCCACCTTACCTATTTCTCGTTGTTACTGTCCAGAGGGTCCTACAGTATTTGAAACAAAAAACCTGATTTACCTATTAAACTACACTGCATACTTGTATATTATAATTGTTTCCTTTAATAACGTAGCGCTACGAAATTCTATGAAAGATGTGATTTAAGAGGACTTAATAAATGAAACTACATGATACATAGCTTATGACGTGAATAATAAAGATAAGAAACCTATATTCGTTCAAAGAAATATAAAAACGCGAGGTGGTGTACTGAATAATGTGCTTTTTATGCTTACAGAATGTTTAAATTTCATGTTGCCTTGTCTCAGTAACGTGATGGTTGTATCTGTTTTGCTACAGGACAGAATAATTTTAGTTATTCCTTCGGAATAACAATTTGTAAGTAATGTGTGGTAACATATTATAGGTGAGTATGGAAATATAGGAGAGAGTGGAAGAAAAATATACGTTGTGCCAACCCCACGTAGCGTGGGATAAGGACAGGAAGAAGAAGGTAGTAATATATTAATAGCCTTGGTAGTATGGTTTGACCTACCGCCTTTCAAGCAGAGGCCGTGAGTTGGAATCCGGCCTGGCACATCTGATTTTGTCAGAATATATGTACGTTTAATTTAAAATTTACTATGAGCTTTTCGGTGAAGGAAAACATCTTTGATTTAAACTTTCAAAATTTTCACACATTGTTTGATTTTTAATTCGAGACTTAACCACGTATAAAACATACTCGTATTTTAATTGCCTCGACGTTTCGGATCGGATGGGTTGATGATCGATCGAACATAATAATAGGTACTGTATAAGTAATATAATACTTATATGAAATCATAGTTAACACGATAGAAATCCCTAATTCTCATACAAATGAAGTACGAGTTGAGGCATTCTTAAAAATTTGATAATACAAATTTAAAGATATCTTTATATAATAGTATGTATTTAATAAATATATATAAGTATATGATTAAACACTATTCATTCGCACACGAATTCTCTTAAAAAAAAGAGCAACAGACTCTTTATAACAACATGACGACACTTTCAAATAATATGTCGAACTTTAATATATTCTCTAGTAAAGACCCCAGACTTGACGCGTGCGGGAGACGAATTTAACCACTTGGTAGTTGAAATTGGAATGCAGATCAGCAACTTCTGTTATATTTAAAGTTTATACGTATATTATATTGAATGCTAATACAAGCCAAGCATTCAATATAATATATGTATGAACAATATATGTATTTCCTATAATAATAATAATAATAATAATAACGCTCACAATCAACATAGCCCCGCACTAGGGAAACCCTGTGTCGCGGGTGCCATGGACACACACACAACCACAAATTACACCCAAACTCACGAGAGAAATAAATGTAGGCCATACAAATATTTCTCCCGGCCCGGGAATCGAACCTGGGACCTCTGCGTGGCAGTCCGGCATGGTAACCGTTCGGCCACGGAGGCAGGCACGGAGGCAATTTCCTATAATGCTTATACATATATTGAACGCTTGCCTTATAACCTTTATTTATCACCTATAAACACGTCAGAAAAACTTATGTATTACTTCAGTATTTGCTACACATAAGTACATACTAAAATCTGAATGCTTTTGAAGCATGCTATAATAAGAATTAGTGTTTCGGATTACCGATATCCTGTGATAGAATTTTTCCGCCTAACAGCAATAATGTACCACTATTTGTTTCGTATACCGTGAGCTCCTTGTGAAAGGTTTTTTCAGAGAAGTACTGCCACCATCGAGTATATAACTAGAAATAGTGACGAAACGTCATTTAATTTGTTTGAAAACTATTACGCCAAATCTGTGACAACTGCGTTCCGATTGGCCAGCCGGAATTCGAAATAATTGACGGGGGTCGTCAATTGGTTCACTTCAAATCAATCGACGAATTTGACTTGAGCGTTGCTATATTGGACAAAAATTGCAAAATTACAATATTTAATTACCGATTAAATGTTTGGTTTGTAATTAGATAGATGTTTTGCTGTTTTTCCCACACCTCCGAATGGAACAGCCCCCATTGTTAGAGATATTATCTTTATTACAATAAATACAGAATGCTTTTGAAATATACGGAGACGTATACACAGGTCAATATGGTTGGCGCTGTACTATTTCAGTTTTCTAATTTGTTAATTCAGCGCAAACGAGATTTGATATTTAAAAGTGATATAAGGCCCATTTACTTGATGAGTTGCCATGGATGGATGGCCCTTATTTCGTCTCTATTTCTGGTTATATACTCGATGACTGCCACCTTTCCTATTTCTGCCGTCAAGCAGTAAAATGAGCGTTACTGCCTTCCGTTTTTGAGAGGATAACAGTGCTGGTGAAATTACATAGGCACATGCGACTTGTCAATTTATATATCAGGGTGACGGGGGTAGTGGCGGTACCCCTCAGATCTTTGTGATTTAAAGTTCAGAGCGGCACTACAGCTGTTATGGACAGGCGTGCTATTTACCACCAGACGCATGACGTAAATTGTGGTAAAAAATACTACTTTAATGTTGTTTGGCTTACTTTTGGTTGCTAGCGAGGAAGGCGCCAGCAAGGTCATCAAGGTCGAACTGGATGGGCAGCTTAAGCATCGGCCTCACGGCATCCAGCTCGTCCTCGTCCTCAGCAGAGCTATCCGACTCCAGGCTGTCGTCGGCAGAGTTATTCGCTTCATTTTTAGAGTCGTCGATTTTCTGAAATAAAATGTAATGTTGATTTTTAGTTGCTAGTAAATATTGGCAGTAAGCGAAGAAATGTTAACATGGATTAAAATTGCGGGAGGTAACCTTGGGATAAGTATGAAGTTTCAATGGCTTATTCTAACTACAGATTCAATAATAACATCATTTTATTTTCTCTTCAACAATGATATAGTGCTGCGAATTGTAACTATATAGAGACCACTATGGTCTGTGATAGAGACTGTGGTACGTAAACTAGGAAAACCATGTACACTTTGAAGATAAATTTATTTACAACAGGAAAATACTATAAGTAGTTATTACTTTTGTGCAACATAAGTTTCATAAATATATCAAGAATAAGATGCCATAATAATAGAGTAGCGACGCAATGTAACATTTTTACTGAGCTAATTCCTGGTCCAAAGAGAGTATTGAAGTGGAATGAGTTTTTTTAAACTGGATGCTCTGATCACTTATTACAACTTATGTGTGCATGTGCAATGCATTAATTCATCAATTAGGCTTCTTTTAATATGAAACAATTTGGTTATGAAAACATCATTATTTTAATGTTCGAGATATATTTTTATTTAAGTAAACTTTCATTCATAGCCAACCACAAATAGAATGGTAAATAGTACTTTATTATTATAATATCAATAGAATAATTTAGTAATAATCTTTAACCCATATATTAATAATAAATAATAAGATTTTCGTTGAAGAAAAACTTATAAACTTCTTGCTCAAATATATTATTAAAGTAATATAGTATCTGAAAGAGGTACATGTACCTATAATTTAAATAATTTAAATACAAACTACAAACATTATTGCGTTCACTACATTTTACACCACATTTTTATCTTCGTCCTGAAAAATTACATGAAACCACATAGATTCTCTAACGATGTTTTCTTTCACCAATAAGCTCATGGAAAATTGCAAATTGAATTTCGCACGTATATTCCGAAAAACACAGAGATGTAAGCACGGCTTCGAAGCCATGACCCTCTGCTTCAGAGGTCAAACGGCTGCCCAGGCTGAAACGTCAATAGACATACTTATTTTTTTACCCGCGCTTATTTTACAGCATTTCTGAAAAAGGATTTTGTCCACCGCTTCGCTTGTTTTACTTGATGAACTCTATTATTAAATATTTTTGAAAAATTACTCCACTGGTTTGTTATAGTTATTAATACAAAGATCGATCTCTAGCCAGGGTTTGGTAGCTGTAAAGTTATCTAACTAGGTGACGAAATACTTTCATAGATTTCTCATAGATGGTGCTATGGCTAAAAGTCGTTAAAAACCAAATAAAAAGATCCGACAAACAAGCACATGGAAATATTCGTGAGATTCACTGGTTTGTTCCGTGGCTTAGTTGGCATAGCGTCTTGTACGGTTTGCTAGAAGACGTCGATTCGAATCCGGACGGATCGAAGGAATTTTTTCTAAGTGTTCGATTTTTGTATTAAGAACTCTATTATTTTTATAAAACTATTCCTGCACAAAATAATCGAAATGTTTGCTGTAATAATTAAAAATCGAGTGGAAACGAGTATCAAAAGCATTATTATGTTATAATGCATTGTGTGTTTGTGATGGCACATGAATGGCGGCGGAATAAATGGCATTTAACACTTTATAAAAACGCGTTGTGTGAAAACAAGAACGTGATATCTCGTTCTGTGCTGTTTGCGGGCTACAATAGCTCGGACATCCTGCGCGAACAATGCGCCCGCGCACCATTGTTCCACCGCCCTCCGTTTGTAAATATTGTCGACATTAAGATAGATACCTCATCGCTCAATCAACCTGCAATTTTATTGCCCTACTAAAGCCATCAAAACAACAACATTTGTATTTTTTTTCATCGTGCTTCCAGTAATAATTTTGGTATTAACAACTTCTCTTATTCGATTTCTAATTCTTGAAGTCGCCTTTTCATAATTACAAGAAACATTTTAAAGCAATCTAAAGTTACAACTTATAGTCTTGGTTCATATCATTTTGAAAAGTGAATCACACACATTCTAAAATGTTTCAACTAAAACATTCACATTTTTTAACTAAAAATAAACGCTACGATATTGTGTTGTGGAAACCTCACTACACCATATCCATACCATTTATAATAGATCAAACAAGCTACAATATTCTTTAACATCACTTACGCTAACCAATTGCTATCCGTATAAATAAACACAAGTAAATTGAGTAGGCACGTATGACACAATAGGTATAAATACTTATTCGTACTTGCAAGGAAAACCATAGAGGAAGTTTCCACAGTCAAATGAAGATATCGTGGCTTATTATTATAATGCTTGATGGTAGATAAGACTTAACCGGACCCATATCTAAGCTTGTTTGTAACACTACCTGCTTAAAAGAGGATGATTTAGTACTTAGATACGTTTGATGCCTTAGCCTAGTACCACCTCCGTATTACTTATTGGTTCAATTATAATCTCAGTACACAGTACTAGTAATATTTTCTTCAAATTGAAAAGGGACTACTACTGAGGTACCCTCCTTCCAACAAAAAATAATCATCAAAATCGGTTCGCAAATGTATGAGTTATAGCGTAACATACAAAAAAAAACATACAGTCGAATTGAGAACCTCCTCATTTTTATAAGTCGTTTAAAAATTAAACAGAATAGTACTTGTTCTTTTAATTTGACGAATAAGTACTCGAGTCGTCTTTGAGCTGATAATTCACAATGAATGACAAATCCAATGTGTAATTGTCTCATAAAAAATAATAAGATCGCGATAGTATGTAAAATTTAAAGACAAATATCCAAAAACATATTTTGACTTTGGTTTTCATTTAACTTCATTTTATTCTAGAAACTATGCATACATTCTGTGTACAACAATGAATTTAGGAGCATGATGGAAAAATATAGTTAATTTTATTAAGTGAACGATATTATTTATGGACTAGAAAATTGAAGGAACAGAAGTGCAATAAGCAACAACGTCATTCTTCAAATCTTAATACCTAGATTTCTCTACTACGCCTGTAGTCCAAGAGCAACGCAATAACACAAAATGTTATTGCCAAAGCAACGTGCATTTCTTTATACCTCGTTCATTATACACGAGCCTGTCTGTTCTCATCTCCATAGTTTATTCCTACATTTTATGCATTATTTGCATGTGTTTAAGATTTTATTTTGATATTTTTACATTGAAAATAAAATAAAAACGTAAAGTTGTAATTTACCGTTCTATTATTATTATTTTACTACCAATATAACAGTAATATCTTCCTATAAATGTGGAGTAATAAAACGAAATAATATCCGCTTTCACAAGTGCAACGGTCGCGAAGCTAGCTGCGGCGCGAGCACACTACGAGTGAAAGCTCATGACGTCATTGCTTGCACCAAGCACACTTCATCCAAGCGACATGTTGCACAATACCGCTTGGATAATCCTTTTTTGGAAACCGTCAATTGTGAGGGCTTAATAGCGAAGTTTCACTGATAAACCAAAGTGATCATACGCACATTTGGAAGTTACATATAATTCTACACTTTTCTGTTAAAATAAAAGTATTTTAATTTAATTTATAATTTAACTTACAATGAAAATTTCACTTTGATGATGTCCAACTATTACGTTGCGTCCAAGAAAACAAAACAGTGAAATAAAAATCCAATTACAATAATGTGAAAAAGCGCGCGTTGATGTCGTAAACACTGACCGGCAATCAATTTATCCACTATCCCACCAATGTTGCATAACTTGTGTACCTATTTATATATAAACAAACGTATGGTCAACAGCTGTCGTGCGTCAAAGTATTAACACTAAATGTTTATATTGGAGAGACGAATGTGTTACATCCATTTAGTACCTACTACGATGACATTATAGCAAAGAGCTGCGAATAGAAGATTTTTTATAAATCTCTTTTTGGCTACTTATCTTCATTGACCTACCATTTTTTCCGTCTGTTCTCGAGTTAAACAATACACGACATACTTTATGCGAAATAAGCAAATATGTGGTACAAAGATCGGTCTAGTTTAGTACCTGCTACGAGCTTTCAATAATTACCTGTAGTTTGTCCTCGTCGATTTTGGATTCGGCGTGGCTGAGACCGTCGTCTTTTAGTTGGCTAGCGGCCGGCGCAGGCGGTTGGTTGGACTGCACAGACGCAGCGGACGATTGCGCTGCAGGTGGTGGCACACCGTGCAGAGCGTGTGCGTTCGCAATGGGTAATGGCTCATCCTGTAAATTGATACATAAAAATCTATCAATTCTGTACATTCACGACTAATTTGAATGATACTTGTAAATATAGACCGATCTAATTTTTCAAGGTAAATCAATTTTGGTCACTAAACCATTTTGCTTCATTTAAATTCGTATGGTTGAATACTTCCAAATTTGATTGTCAATACAATATATGTAAATACAAAAGCCAATACGATTAAATTATTCAGAAGCAGACATCACAAATAATTTAATGAAAACAAATAGGTAAAAAGGTATATGGGAAATAAAAAAATATAATTCTCGTCTATTTCTATGTCTACAGCGAAAAATGCTAATGGAGTCGCAAGAGGTGAAGCGCAATTTTCCGCGTAATCGCTTTTTGTGGATTGCTCATTCAACACAATTTTAGGAAACCTTACAAAATGTTGTTTCTGCGACAAATTACGAGATGAAACCATTGCTAACATCGCCGCTCACTTTTAGCGCAAAAACCATCTTAGCAACTCATCACAAAATGGCGGATGCCTTTGCATGTAGCCGAGCTATTACGTAACTTTATGTAACACCACTATGTGTAGGTAGGTACCTAAGCAGACATTAACGTTCTTCATTGTTCGTGTCAATTGCAACGTTCTCACTGCATAACCACCGCTAGTGGCAAACACAATCATGCAAAGCGTTTTTAAAGAAACATTTATAGGAAAAGTGCAAGGTTATTTGCGCAGTTAGCGCGACTATTTTACGTATTGTCTTCTGTACAACAGCTTAGATATGAACCGTGAGATTTTCGTTAAGATGACCAGAGGTTGTGGTCGTAATTATATGCATATATAAAATTTCGACAACATATAGGTAATAGGGAATAAATAAATGATAATTCAATATAGATAAAATTAATAAATTGTGTACATTTGTTTTATTTTATGGAAATCAGTGCAATAAAAGGCTATATTTCAATAACAATCTACAAAAATCACCTCGATAAACAAACATATATATTTTCCTGACCTAAAAACTTCACTAACAATTTCATCACTGATCTCAATCAGTACCTGTTTAATAGTTATTCGTTTTAGAATCCCTAAAATGCAAATTTTACGCTTGCTGTTCTTTATGCTTGTTAATATAGTTCATATTGTCCCAGTCGGTATTAGGTACTATATAAATACTACATATAGACGTTACGTTACGTTGGTTTTACACATTTTGATGTACTATCAAAATGTGATACCAAAAATTACAAGTAAACCACAAATTCCAAAGATACCGTTGCAATTTCCTTTTTTGCCGAATTCTCTATATGTTGAATGAAATTGACATCGTAAAAGTATTGAAAGCTATGAAAAAATGGTGTGCATGTGTGTCTATCAAGCGTCAACGACAGCCATCACCATCAGCCGTCAGGGGCAGCCGAGCGCGAAGTGTTCGCGACCGCGACTGATAGAAAACGGCGATTACGTCGTACCACTATTGTCGCATTCGTATTGTATACTCCACCCACAACACTTTTACTAGATTTACGAAACGCTTTAAAGCGTTTACAGCGGCTGTTGCCTTTCGGAGATGATTGCGTGATAACGAGGAAATTACACATCCCACAGACTCAAAAAGCTATCTAGGCAATTCGACATTACCTACATGTTAGAAATCTGAGCTCCAAGAAATGTTGTAGTACAATATTATCTCTATGTGCCAACTATTTACCGAAGACAGTTTCTCTCGAATAAAGCGCCATCTGCGCCAAAACTTTGAATTTACATAAATGATACCTGTTACGTATCATAATTTCATTTTTTTTTTTAGAAAGTACTGTACTAATTTGTTTTATTGATACAAAGATCGAACACAAGGAAAAATTCCTTCGATATGACTGGACTCCAACCAGCGTCTGCTCCCATTTACATAAGTGTTTTTAGTTCGTCTTCAATCTTAACGAAGAACCTAAGATGCCTTACTTTTGAGGTCACTCTTTCAAACAGCAACTTAACAGTAGGTATTATTATAATTATTAGATAAAACAAGGCTGCTTAGTAAAAACTCACAACTTCAGATAATCCATGCTGAATTTCTAAAATGTTTAGAACAAAGTCGGTTTCGACTGGTATTTCGACATGTGTCATTCATGGGATTGCAATGCTAGCCGCAAACGACTCGTAGTTAAACGACAGCGGCTATTGTGTTTATTATGTAAAGAGAGCCTATGGAGGTGGTCAATGCCCCAGCGGCAGTCCAACAACGTGAGGAGCAATCGCAATACGCATGAATGTGTCCGACGATTGATGTGACTCGCTGCGGTGAAAGAGCCATAAAATAACCTTTGTCAATGTCCCAATGGGAACAAAACAAACCCATCAACTCTGATCAGGAGGTTGAAGTTTAATCCACTAGCAGCGGTTTGTCAAGAACAGATTATCTCAACCACCACTTAAGCAGTACAAAAAACGCGCCATCGAATAAAGAAAAGTAAGCGGAACTAAAATAGTTCTCATTGCGTAATGTACTTATACGTGTATATTTGCTGTGGAAAGTAATACTCGATAATCTAATTCCGCTCCTTCTGGAGATGACTGTATGAAACTTAACCACATAAACCTACAATAACTTAAATTTCGTACACTGACAAAAATAAATTCTACCATTACAGTCAAATTACTAATATAACGCGCGCGCACTGATAGCTCCGCAATAGAGAAACTCTGTATCAGCGGCCATGGACATGGATAGATTACCACAAATTACACTCCAAACTCACGAGAGAAATATATGTAGGCTGTACAAATGTTTCTCCCGGCCCGGGAATCGAACCTGGTACCTCTGCGTGGTAGTCCAACACTGTAACCGTTCGGCCACGGAGGCAGTTATGTATCTTTATGTACCATGGTTAGTAATAATATTTTTATGTTATATAAGAATTACAGAGACAACCACGGATACTGTTAAAGTGTTGCAGTATACATTTATAAAGTCAGCTGTGTTAAACCAAGTAGCTTAAATATTACTTAAGAACGTATTAAATTAAAACAGAAAAATGACATTGAAATATTTGTATCATTTTAATATAACAAAATAACTTATATTGAACATCTCAATCAACAATAGTTTATGACTATGCTACTATTATGTGAAAAATGATCCTTAATTTGTCTTAAGAAATTAATGGTATATAAATAGTCACTAATTAGAATGGTAAATCACGTTTATTCGTTATCTTAGTTAGGATGCAACACTTCTGCCAGCCCGACACAAGTGCTGCATCATATGTATGATTCGTGCAAATTAAGATGATAGGTTGCGGGCAACTGTCAGAGTCAACGAAGCGCGCAGGATTAACGAGGATCTGGAGATTGGACGCAATAATTACCCGATGACAGAGCAGTAGGCAAACGGATGCCACGGCAATGATTGCAGTGCGCGTGTGTGGAAAATCGCCTGCTTCCGGTCCTAACAAACATCTCAGTACGGACGTAGTAATATCGATTTAAATTGAAAAACAAACGACATTTATAAAATAATTTTACATTAGAACTCGAGTATATAAACATATTTTAATGTTATTGAAGCATATATATTTAATGTTATCAACGTATATGACTATGCATTTTGTACGTCATCATCATTTTGGGCTTGAAATCATGAAAATGGTCAATATTTAAGTAACAAAAGAACTTGATCATACTCTTAATAATATAGGTACCGCCTGGAGCCATTTACCAACACGACTTAAGAGCAACATGCTTATTGATTTAAACCTCTTGAAATGCTTTCTGCTTGTATTCAATTAAAAAAGGATTGCTTCATCAAATAATAAGCCATTAAAATAGTATTTGTGAAACAATAAAGCCATTGATTGGGTAGCCATCCGCCGAATGAAAAGTTATCATTGTAATGCTTACCAGGCCAAGTACGCGTTAATTTTCATACAATTGGTCACGGCGACTGATTCAAGGATTCATGCCTCTTAAATGTTTACATTCCGATTCACCGGTCACCAAAAATATTATGAGTTGGGTACTCTTATTATTTATTTGCATTGCTGGATGATTCCGTCGCTATTATGCAAGCCCTCACATTCATCACACCGTTAAAACAATCCTTCGTCATCTGCTTTGTGCGCCGGTTTCAATAATAAACATATGAATGAAGTTAACACGGTTCATTAGAAAGTTCACATGACCTCGCTTTTATCTTAGAAATTCCATACTGAAAGAGCTGCTATTCAAAAATATAAATTAAGTAAGCCAACGCCGGAACATTTCGTGTTTACAAAAACAAGACTTGACAGAAACTAGAGACAGTCACACATTTAGCATAACAATGCTCGAAGTATGAGATGTGCGGTTCGAACAATAAAGTCGAAGGAAAAGAAAGTGGTACCTCTGTGGTCGAAAGCAATATTAATCTATACACGAATAACTGTTACTGGTGCGCAGAGTTTATTTATTTTGGGCTTGCATTGGAGTGTTTTCACGCATCATGAATATTCATCTGCCATCAGAAATCGGCCCCGCCTACAGAGTGTGCTTTGTAGTTGTCGCCTTATAGTAAAGTTTTAATCATTCGCTTGTTTTCTACAAATATTTAATTACGTCAGCAAAATAGGAAGCGTCAAACGTATGCACGAATACGGTAAAACTTAGCGGGTAAATTAATGTTAACAGGCAAGTGTTACATTCGAAACGCACTTGTAAGTCTATTTCCACGTTTACAAAGAGGTGCATCGGCAACTCAGGGTCAGTGAACTCGTGGACCGGTCACTTTCGCCACAGATAGAAATAATCGCAACTCTAGGTAGCAGACGTTATTTAAGAAGTCGCCGGGTGATGCCAACGGTGACCTCTGACTTCGCTCTACCGTTCTCCTCGACGGCTTCAATGTTGCAATTGCATCGCACAAACACATTTTAAATCTTAAAACCACCAAAGAATAGCGAGTTTTGGTAGGTATTAGTAGATATTTACTCCTCATAAACAAATTTATAGATGGAATCTGCTAACAATTATTGAATCATAAACCGGATTTTTTATAAAAACTAGTACTTTATGCAATTGTCTCAAAGATTTTTATTATTATATTCAAAATTAATTTATTCAAAATTCAAATACGAATAGTCCAATTTATTCGAAAGGACACTAACATTTGACAATTTGGATGTATTTGTTGTATTGGATATATTTGTAGATGACGAACTTTAACAGCAATGCTTATTCAAAACTACGCTGTACTCAGGTTGGAATAACTTTCTTAAAAAGAGAAATGTCTGATGTATTTTTTATAGATTAAATCTTAACATTTATATGAGTCCAAAAAGACTCAAATTATGCGAGTTATATAGTCTTCTATGAAGCTAAACCGCTAAAGAGTTCAGAAAATGGCGGTAAATTGCTGCATTGTGAAACATTTTACGGTGAAATTCAAGGTGAACAGGTCGCGACGGCTCGTCCACGTCCCAAATCTCCATTCGGACTGTAAGACCGTGTGCGCGCATTCATTATACCTATTCTCCACAACTCTCGGACTATCTCAAGCTCAATTATGCCGCTCATTACATAATCAAACACGAAAATACGTGAATTAAACATAATTCTCCGCGATAACGATCAATAAATTTTCCTCAACATTATAAACATGGTAACAATGAAAGACCAAATAAGCTGCGCTTTCAAGGCTGCCGTGTTTAACTCCGGCTTGAGACAGCTCACATTATACTGACAATATATAAAATGTTGAAGAACGTGACGATACAAATGACTCACGAGATGCTCTTTGTATTTTTTACATTTTTTTTGTGGCACTTAATTTCCACAACGTGTTTCGAACTTTTGATGTGAACTCTTGAAAGAGACTATTTCCAAATCAACGTTTCACTTACACAACTTGGAATCAGCTTTTTTCTCCTCTGAAATGTACATAATAATTCTTAGTCTATATGTAAGTATACAAACTAAAACTGATTCAACAAGATCTACTTATAATGATATGAAGCCAATAACCAATTCGTGAGTCCTATAGCCATTGGTTGTATGTTGGCTCATATAAATAATAAATAAAATAATTTTATTGTAATATAAAATTTATTGAATATCACAAAGTTTTAGGTACTACCATAATATTCAATTATTTTTTGTCCATTATTAGGTATTTTATCCGGGCGGATCGAAGGAATTTTTCTTAGTGTCCAATCTTTATATTAAGAATTATTTAATTTTATTATTTTATCCAAACTATCCAAAGTAATCCAAACTAATATTATAAATGCAAAGGTCCATATTCACGCCTAAATCGCAGAATCAAATTTGATGACTTTTGATATAGAGATAAAAGGGACCTAGGAGAAGGGGGCTACTTTTTGTCGCAAAATAAATCTTAAAGAGGTTAAAATAGGGAGTGATAGGAAGTTTGTACGGAGAACCAATGCAACTCTGAAAATTAGTATAGGTCAGTAGGCTACCTGAAGTACTTTTTCACAAAAATAATTAATCCAATTTTACGATTCTTTAACTACGTAAATTTCAGAAAATTTTCACTTAATAATGATTTGCAATTGTTATCCATGATAAATAATTACTATGGTTAACTATGTAAATAATTATGATATATTATTATTAATAGTTAATAATAGATTCTACAGATAATCACGAAAACGGTCTAGTTATATCTGTTGAGCATGTACGCTTGGAAATATGAATACATAATATTCATTATATAATAAGGCTGTAACTGTAACTTCGATAATCATGCTTTCTATTTATGGAAATGTGACAATTTTTTGCTTACTCCGGTAAGCTGAATGTTAATTTATTACTATTACTCACCGCTAATAATCCATCGTTGCCATAAGCTCTGCTCTCAAGAGCGAGCTCCTTATCAAGCATGGCGTCGAGTTGTTCGAGTTGGTGACATGAGGCGCGTGCCGCAACCCAGCTGGAAGCCAGGATAAATGCGCCCAGAATAAACGAGGAAGCCACCACCGTCAGCGCGGCAATCTTTGCGATCTGAACTGCCGACGAAACCCGCTGTCTGTACGCCTGTGTGAATAAGAACATAGATATATCGAGATGTCAGTGTCTAACAAATACTTCTTAACATAAACTGGACGACGACCTCGATGGTTAAGTGGCTAACATTGTGGGTGCTATATTAGAAGATCCCGAGTTTCATTCCAGGTAGGACCAATTTGAGAAACGAACATATCTAAATTGATCCTCTCTGGGTATTTTGGGTATAGTTCCGAATTTAATTTCATTAGGCTCTAGTTCTTATGCTACTGGAAATTTCCTTGTGGTTATAAAAACTTTATAAAATTAGTTTACAAAATTTGTGCGCAAATTAAGGGTATTTAAAAGATATTATCTTATTCTCTCTATTCTATCAATCAGATAGAAGAAACAGATAGAATTAACTCCCTGTAATCTAATAGGAACTGCAAAGTCCGTCCGTTTCAATTCTCTCGCTATTGCTTAGATAACCAGTCATAGTCCAGATCCAACCAACCTAATCGATTGTTAAGAAATTATTTATAATCCATTAGTTTCCGACCCTCAGTTTAAAATCGGAGCATTTCCAGTTAACGCAGTCATTACTGTAGAACACAATTTCCCGACTCATTTTACACTTTCTTCTTACAATTACACGAGGAACATTTTATGTTACGCAACGTGCATACTATTCAAAAGAAATAAATATTGTGTCTATATATAGTGTTGCTATACAACATATTGAACTTAACAATGTTGCCACCACTATCAAACCGAAATTATTGCTGTTACTAAGGAACCTTGTGTATCCATAACCATGCACCATAGTGCGAAAACTCCTTAGCGTGGTTGGGTTAATGGAACAGTGGTTTACTAACAACTTCTGAATTGGTTGCACGGACGCAGCGTTGCATAATAGCGCCTACCGCCGAAGTGCAAAGAGGCGGCAAAGTGAAGCGGGGGTACAGTGAAAGTCCAATGGTTGTCTTTGAGAAATCCATCATCTTGTGCGAAATGCTAAGCGGCATAATAGCAACTAAGTATAGCGCAAAAAATGCCTTGCTAGATTTGTAAATGATCTATTCTACTAAGCTGCCAGCTGTCCCCCCTAATGGGGACAAGTGGATTTTTTTTCCACTCTTCCCTACCACACTATCACTGGTTGGTAAAAGCGGAATTTGATATCCACTTTTCTGTACCAATAAAATCTCTTGACGTGTGCAGTACAGTTTCGACAAAAATGTCTAATTATAATATTCACAGTAATATCTTACTATACACGCACTTTCTTCAAACATTTCTTCGCGTTTTAACCATTCGATGGCAAAAGATCTATCTAATTCATCAGGAAAAGGGTTAAAATCAGAAACAAGTGTTACGGGTCAAATTGACAAATCGTAAAAGGAACTATTTTTAATTAGGTCACTATTCTTGAAAAGCAGCGAATTGAAGATAAAGAACTGGAATTTTAAGTTAGCGATTTCATAATAATTTTACTGTAAGTAGTGGACATTTACTATGTTCTATCGAATGTTGATAATTTAATATAATTCATTGTAGTAGAGCTCCTTGTGAAAGAATGAGTTCGTCCAGGGAAGTATTGCCACCTTACCTATTTCTACCGCCAAGCAGCAATGTCAGCATTACTGTGTTCCGGTTTTGAAGGGTAAGGTTGCTGGTGAAATCACGTTATTAATTAATTAAGGTCTTTGTGATGCCCTGTGAGCTGAAGCCTTGGATGGCACTGCAACTGCTATGGACAGGCGTGTCGCTTATCACCAAGCGCACGAGTTGTTGTCCCGTCACTTGGTATCATAAAGAAGATCAGTACAGAGCACTAAAGAAGCCGACCTCAAAAGTCATTGAACCCCTAGTTTGCTGGCCTTGGTGGAATATTTTGTTCAAATACAAATGGGACCACTACTGATAGGATTACCCTCTTTCCAACAAAAAAAGACACATCGAAATCGGTTCACAAATGAGTTACCGCGTAACATGCAAACAAAATAAAACATACAATCGAATTGGGACCGTCCTCCTTTTTTTGAAGTCAGTTAAAAAACGTTTTTTTGTATAATACCAAGTGACGGGACGAACCAGATTTAAGGGACACTGCTGCTGTACCCGTCACTCTGAGACGTGAGTTGACAAGTCCCTTATGCCTTTGATTTCATTAGCACCCTTACTATTCAAAACCCAAACACTGTAATGCACACATTACATATCGCACTGTTAATACAACAGTGTATTAGCTCAAAAAGTGTATTCTTTCAGAATCGATGAAAAACGAATACTTACCATTCTCACTATACTCACTTCCCGTGAAAAAATTTTGAAATATACGCATAGGTTAAAGTTTTTTTACAGACATGTAATCAATCTCCTACTTGCCAATTCGAAAATAAAAGAGAAAAAATAACTTCATATTTTGCGTAAGGACTGTTTTTCCCAGAACTAGCTCACAAAAAGTTTGACTCATGTTGAGTTAAGCGGAGATCTTTTAGTTGTTTATTATTATATATGAACGAGGGTCTTATTGACGTGTAGAGAATCTAATTTTACATTCAGCAATAGTATAATCTTGATTTTTTTTACATATTTGAATTGCAACACTATTGTAATAGCAGTGCGATATGTAAAGACAGTTTTTATTTTATGTCTGATATAATGTTATGTGATCAAAGGAGCGAAATACGTGCGTAATAATACATAATTACGTTTATCATCAGGTCAGCCGGCTTAGATTACCACTTTCATACCATTAAAGGAATTTCGTCGACTGACTAGTAATGACACATATATCTAGGGCTATCTAGGCACTACCTAGTTCAAATATGTAACAAATATAAGATAATGTAGCTAAAACAATGCTAACATAAACCTCTTGGTAAAGAAAAGGTAGTAATAAACGCTCCGAAAATAAATTAAAAATTAGCTTATTTAAAATATGAATATTACCTACTGCGTTATTTACTAAGCTACCGAAAACTTTTGTGCAAATATAAATACGGAAACAACCGAAATACAGGGAGTTCCGAATGATCTTGCTGACGTAATACTACTCTACAAACTTAATTTATATTTTACGGCAAACTATTGTTAGCCATTTTTGTCATAAATCACCAATTTTGCCACATGTAGTTTAATACTGTTCGAGGCCCTTGTTCACTTGTTTTCATTGTTTTTGTTTGCATTATTTAAAAAAAAAATAAGTTGCTGTTTTTAAATTCAACTTAATGTACAATTATGTTGTGTTTGCAAGCTGTGTTCACTCATAAGTAGTTATGCAATTTAGATAAGATCTCCAAATTTAATTTACAGTATATTACATTATAATAACTGTAAGTGAACCAATAAACTAATATATAGATATATGATCTTATATATTTCAAAAACTTTGTTGTTTCTTAAAGTGCTCTATCATATGACAACATGGACATAGATCGGCAACTTAGTATTTTTTCGGAAGCTTATTATATTATTCGGAAGTATAGTTTTTTTCCGCAAAATTGTGATTCGAACAAAGTTCTTCATTAATTTTATAGGTGCATGGACAAGAGCACGTCAAGCTTGACACTTAAAACTTAAATCCAACTCTATGCCGCTTACGTGCGTACGTACTTGACGTGCTCTTGACTGTACATTCTGTGTTTATTGTTCAGTAACTCATTACAACGCAGTTTAGTTAGTTTTACAATTGGCCTTAGTTCGTCGCAATGTCATTTGTTTTTCGGAACCTTTGTTATTTCCCATGAAGAAACACACAAAAAAATCTAACTATTCTCGTGACGAAATAATTTTATTTGTACTCGACGCAGATGGGGTGAATCCCTAAACCTATGTATATTCTTTTTTTTAAAGCCTCTTAATGCCTATTTATTTACGTTCAGTATGTCGTCTGGCTGTAATTTCTGTCATTTTTGTTGTAAGTAAGTAAAAAACTTCAATACGGACACTGCTTAGAGCATATAGGACTGGAGGCGCCATCGATAGGCAATCCCCTCTATCAAGGTATAGCACAAAACAACTATCGCACAATAAACAGTACTTTCAAATAGATGTTTTTTCATTTCGATTATCGAATACACCGCGTCAAGTACTCCACGAAACATGTCGTCTTGTGCTATACAAACTCGCAAAAATCTCTGCTTATCCAGTCTAGCCAAGGGTGGAATTACATTCCATATATTAGCCTATTTTTTACATCAAATGCTCATTTTCTATTTTATGACATTCTTTTCACAATGATTTTTTATTTTGATTCAATTTATCGATCACGTAAAAATATTTGAAAACATTCGAAGATTTGACATAAGCATGCCTATGAAGTTCCCTATTTACTAACAGGCAACTATAGACACAAAATGCAGTACTTCATGGACGCTGTTTTTTCGTTATAGAGAAGCGACGCGCTCTTTTAGTTCCTATTTTTATTATTATGTAACGCAGATTGTGTAACGAAGTTTATTCAAATTTATTCCTCTGTCGTATTGTATATTAAATAATAATGTAATAACTTATAAATAATGAAAAGAAATTGTAATTTTTTAATATAAATCATCATAAATCATGATGTAAGAAAAAAATAACAATAAAAAGTACATATACGAGTACATACATACAATACACATAAATTACAAAAGCAATAAAAAATAACCAAATAGCTAACTGTACTTATCCTACACAAGACATGCGCAAAAGACACAAAGGGACCCGTGTCGTCAATTTCAGTTTTCGAACCACAAGCGATTGAAATATTTAGATTTAGAACAAAGAAACTATAGAGTTAATTTAATGTTAATCTTATTTATTAAATGACTTTTTATTAAATGTTAGCAGTGAATAACTAACAAAATATTGTTGTATTCGTTTGCCCGAATTTTTGTAATCAGAATGTACTTTTTTAGGTTATTTTAGGAATATTACAAAACATACTAACTTAATCTTTTCTTTGTAATAAGCAACCAAAATACCCTGAAAACATAACGGTTTTGTTATAAATCGGTTTTCGAGATTATGAAACTTTGAGTTTACGTCTAATTGGAATCTTG